GTGTGGTGAGCGGGCAGTATGTCAAGGACCTATCCTCTCGCGCTTGCTTATTCTGCTTATTCCACCAGCGTCCTCCACATTTAGCTGCTCTTATTTGGTGCCACGAAATATTAATGTGCTGAGAGGAAAAAAGATTACTTATGAACCCACCCAATTTCCACCCTAGAGTGACATCATCCCCCTACTTAGCAATAATATTTGCATTAATGCCCATTACAGAAACACAGATTATATGAGAACAGATCGTAAATGGAAGCAGATGCTGGAAGGTGGGCAGATGTGGAGGTAGACTGTGGTAGTTCTAACTGCTTCAATTTTCTCAGTAAAAACTTATGTGGTAATTTCCCCAGTTCCTGAGTCTTAAATAGGAATAGCTCCTCAGCAAGTGCAGAATCCTCACAATGGCTACCAGCCCGTGGAGTAAGGATGTCTATGATTGAATGGCCAAGGTCACGTCTTCCTTAGGCTGCCCCTTACTACCAAAATGGCCAAACAAATACAATACTATATCTTTGTAGTAACTGTGGCTATTAGTGCCACCAGGAAGAAAGAGGCACAGATGCTTAATGGAATTCTTTGGCATCTGAAAGCAACCTATGTCACCTTGGAGTTTGCTGCTCTGACTCATTTAATTTTAATGAAGGCTTGGGCAAGGGAGGGCTCTGGCTGGTCCAGACCCACTGTCAGCAGCTCTGCATTTTTGCCCTTTTGACACAGGAGATCTGACGGTGCTCGGTGTGTCTGTGGCTGATTGTGGGTACTGTGTAGAGTCAGCAGCAAGTCCTAATAGAGGAAGTACAGCTGCAGCCTCTTAGCTTTTGGAGCAAAGCCAAGCTCTCTTATGCAAGTAATTATTCTCCTTTTGGAAATAACTCTTGACCTGCTACTGGGGCTTGCTACAGAGGGCTTGACCACAGGACCCGAGGTAAGCACGTGACCTAAGCTGCACATCTTGAATTGGGAGTGATTTAATCCACCAAGCCACAAGCTCAGCAGGCCCACTCGGCCTGGCAGCACGCCCTCATCACGTGGAAGCAGTATATGTCAGCACTGAACACATGGCTGAGGGTCCTCAGGAGCTGCAGGAGCAGTTAGAGCCTTATCCTGGGATATGCCTCCTGCCTGCCCAGCTGCTGCCTCCCTCACGACCATGGCCCCATGGGAAATTCCCAACGAGCAGTTCGCCAAGGAGGAGAAAAGTCAAATCTGGTTTACAGATGGCCATGCAAGTTTCGTTGGCACCTGCTGGAATTTAACTGCTGGAGCATTTCAGCCCCACTCAGCGCCAAGGGACACTGGGGAAAATAAATCTGCCCAGGGAGCAGGACTGGCAGTGGCCCACATTGTGCACTTTGCCTAGAAGAGGAGATGGCCTGAGAGGCAGATGCCCACCCTGCCATGCGCAGTGTTTGCCAGTTTGAAAGAATGGTTAGTGACGCGAAAGGAGGTCTGGGGAAGAGGAATGTGGATGGACATCTCGGAACAGGCCCCCAAAATGTAGGAGAATATTTTGTCCCACTGGAATGGTCAAGAATCACCACTGTAGAGGAGGTCTAAATTCACGGGTAGAAGATTGTCTGCCCTGTGCCTTCCCCTTCTCCCAGCCACCCGAGCTCAATGGCCTCAGGGACAAAGTGGCCATGGTTTGAGGAATAGAGATAATGCATTGGCCTAACAAGGACTATTTCTCACCCAGGATGATTAATTTTCAGCAGCAGTGACCTCCCCCGTGACTTGCTGTAACACCACATCGAGAGGGGGATTATGGTGGAGACCCTTCCCTCGTGGAGAGCAAAAATTCGTCCTCACTGTAATAATGACTCTTGCTGGATTTGGATTCTCCAGGGAAGCAGCACCTTTCATGGACTTTCCAAATTGCCTTATTCACTGTCATTTATTTCTATGCGACAATGCTGCTCACCAGAGTTCCATTACAGTGATGTGAGTGAGACAATAGACCTATGCTCATTCTATTCTCACCATGTACCCAGTCATCTGAAACAGAAGGCCAGTGGCATGGTGGAACAGCCTATTAAACACTCAATTATTGTTCCAGTAGAGAGAGAATTCCTTGAGAGAATGAGATGCCTCTATGTGGGAAGCTAGGTGTGCTATTATCCAATGACCAATAGATGGTGCTCTTTCTCCCAAAGTCAGAATAAAGGGACCAATGGGTGAAAGTGGCAGGAGCACCGGTTACCTCATCACCTCTAATTAAGCAGGCACCTTAATGGAACCCACTTTCTGGAAGAGTGGCTTCAGAAGCATCTGGCCTCAGGGGTCAGGAGGGACAGAGGGCAGCATTCAGGGTCCAAATCAATGGTTCAAGCTGCAGCGTATGTGCCCAGCAGAGGCTGCAACAGGTGGTTGTGGCAACAATGCTGTCATATGTTTCAGATAGTGTCCCTGGTTGCATAGCCACCCAGGCTAATTTTCTGTCCCTCTTGAACACCTTGATATATTTTTTAATAACTCCCTTTTTTGTAAAACTACCTAGATTCTGTTGATTGCAACTAGGAAGCCTGTCCCACACACTTTGGTGACTGAAGCACACTCCTGTCATGCAGGCACTATCTCATTCTCAGTGAAGTGTCCCATATGTTTTACATTTCCCCTTTTGCCATATTTC